AAGAGACTATAGGCTTAGGGGACTAAAACCGTATAGACACTGTCCTTTTTATCACAGAATATTTGTTGGACGTGCACCCAAGGGGTCGTCATTCTGAACGTGGTTAAGCACGTTTCTAATTAATGGAAGAATGTGGACCACATTCTGTGCAAAATCTTCGGTTGGTTACCGAAATTAAAGGAAAAAAATCCCACATACAAAACATAGACTAACAATCTTTAAGAAAAGAGAAAAGTACTTCAGCAAAATAAAAATTTATAATACATTATCGATCGAGGGAAAAATTAACTTGCGAAACCAAAACATCGTTGCCGGCATATGAACAGTACTTCGGCCTCTACACCACTTTACATGACCTTGAAAAGTTCCAAACTTTTCACCCTTTGAAATTTTTCATGAACTCTTCTCTTCTCTGTTCAACAAAAAAAAATGAAAAATCTTCAGCGATTGTGAAGGGGATCCGCAGCGTTTGGAACTTTTCTCTTGCTCGAAAACAAAGCGTCAAATGAATGCCTTAAGCTTCTCTTGAGCTGCTTCCCATGCATAGTTGGTGATTGCTTGGTCAAGCCAACGTCGCTAATGACCAAACTTTCTTGCCGTTCTTCCCCAAACACCAACAACGAGAGGAACAAAAGGAACATTAATTTCTGCAACAACCCCACTTGCCAAAGCTGATCCTGATCAAGAAGAAGCATTTTGCTGGGGTGAGGAACGACAAAGAAGAAGCTTTCAGATTGTGAACAACAAAAAATAATGGAGGTAAGGAGAGAGAGAGAGAAGAAATAGAAGAAGAAGTTCCTTTAGAAAAGCACTGAAGGGAAAAGGTTGATAGCTTTGTTTGACAGTGTGAGAATAGGAAAAAGATATTTGTGGGGTTACTGAGTACAGCCTGCAAACCGGGAACGCATCTCCCGAGTCACGAGAAGACATTTTTTACACTCATCTACTTTTTCTTTTTTCGTTTTCATAATTTTATATGATTGTTCATGTTTCACGAGAGCTTTTTCTTCCCTTTCTCGCTTTCAGTCCCTAAAATAAGGGCCACTCTTAAGTCCAATTTATGACAAAAACGACGATATGTAACCTTGGCTCTAGTACTTTTTTCTTTGTTTAGATGATACTTGTCAGCTTTGGAATGTAGTCAAGTTAGACTTATACAGTATGAGCTACTTGAATCTAGTCTAGACCGAGGAAAAAAACTGTTGGTTTTGCACCTAAAAGAAAGTTTAAAAAAAAATAAAAAAATTAGGTCCCGTTCACTTCATTAATTCGAGTTTAGAATTTGAGTTTTTTTACAGTAAAAAATTCTCACAAACAATCACATCTAATTTTTTTACTACAGTAAAAAAATTCTATGTAAAATCACATCTCAACTCAAATTCTAAATTCGAATTAACGAAATGAATATTAGTAAAAGGACATGCTCTGCTGTCCCGTGCGTTTTTTATACGTCTTTTTTTGTTAATGAAATTTTGCTTAAAGTAGACGTTTTTTTGAGTGGTCAAATCACGCTTATCTTAATCAACATCTCTCCCGATGACTTCTGAAGTAATTGCAGCAATTCATTCATTCAACAAGACAACTGAAAAGACCACAGGTTATTAATCATATGACCCTTTCATTACCCGACGCGTTGTCTCCCATGGTTGGATTGTATCTTTTTGTCTCCTACATTTTTTTATTTGAATTTGTGGAGTTGGTTATATGTTTCCTTTTATAGCGCAATTTAAGGAGCTGGCCTCAGTTAAAAAACACGGCACCTCTAAGTCAGGCAATTATGTCTAGTATCAGTATCACGAATAGTGCAATATACTTTAACAATAACTATATGTATAATGATAGAAAAACATACCCCGGCTGCATATGCCTTTCGGTGGTGCCATGTCAAATCCTTAATTTGGCACCAGTTTAGGAATCGTCACCGGAAGCTTCACTATATTCCATTGTCATGAGCACGATCTTTATGCTCTTAGTTACAATTCTCCTCAAACACGATTATGATCATGACGTTTCTTTTTAGATTTAGATGGGGCCACTTTGATGTCCGGAACGGTGCGGATTTAGCGAGGATCTTGGTGAAGGCTCCGGATGGTTTACTTGTGATAAGGGCTTTTCTAGTGCAGATTTCACTCTATTTGAAGTTGTGATTTTGGAATTGATCTGGTCTGCCAGGAACTCATGTTGTTTTGAAGGCAAGTCCCCTGATGTTCTATCTACGGCTGCTAATGCTCAGTGTCGTTTTTCCGAGTTTGTTTGTCTCCTGGCCTGGCCGAGGCATGTGGTGCAAGAAGATTGATCTGTGCTCTATTGAAGTGGGGGGAAGCTCATGCCTTGATCTGGGCAATTAACTTGGCGCGGGAGACCGTTCCTTTTCTTGCTGCATAAATCTTCTTACTGAATTTCTTAGGAGAAAAAAAAAATCTTGTAACTGAATTATGCTAGATAATAAATTTGGTCAAAGTAAGTTCAGAAAAAAAAAAAAGAATAGAAAAAATGGTCAAAGTGGTCAAATTTGATCCGTCAATATTTTTTCCTTTTTCGTCTTCCAAACATTTTGAGTGAATTAGTGGCACGACAATATTGGTATTAGGTAGTACTTGTTCTCTTTTTGCAGGTGATCAGAGTTCGTCTAGATTATCTTTACTGAGCTAACATACCATTGAATCAGCTTTTAATACCATTGAATCTGTTCCCCATTGTGACTAACAATACGAATAAGTACATAATCTTTAAACACCCTTTCACCAAAAATCTGGTTGGTAAGTGCTAAAAGGGTAAGCATGGATTAGTTCTGATGTGCCAACTATTAGATCTCGTTTATTTTACTGATTTAAATTTTATTATAATAAAAAATTCTCAAAAAAAGTTACATTTAATTTTTTTTTATTACAGTAAAAAACTCTTATATAAAATTATATCTGAACTTGAATTAAAAATTCGAGTCAGCGAACTAAACGAGATGAATCTTTCAAAACAGATGTCATAAAATAAAAATATATACGCATTAATAATTATGTTGTGGAGTCATCACGAGATCAAAATATCATAACTAAACTTAATTACAGGAAAGAAACCAGAGAGCCGTAGGAAATATAAACAAAGAATAAACGGATTGCAGCACTTCCAAATGGATCAAATCCTGTCCTGGAAGTTAAGTTATAGTTCGCGGTCATAAAGAATACAGATATATTACAGACTTACAGTATTAAAAAATAAAAAAAATAAAAAATAAAAAAAGAAGAAGGAGGATCTTAATACTAAATTAATGTGTTAATATCAAATGTAAGCATTTATATAGAAAAACTATTTTATAATAAAGCATAATTTTTGTATTAAATTTCCAAATTTTGGTATTAAACATCTGGTTGTTTAATTTTTACCTTTTTGAGAAATTGATGTTTAGCATTTATGCTAAACTGATGTTCACCTTTTAGCATTTTATACTAAATTGATTTGGTCTTTTTCTTTTTAAATTATTTAAAAGTTAAAAACTTACTTTTATAATTTTCCAAACTTAATAATTACAAGACAAATAGATATATTATTTGACGTAGTTTTGTATATGGAGATTCTCTAGGACACTTAGTGTATTTATAGGTCATATTTTTTTAACTGTTAGATTTACGCATTTTTTTATTTTTACGTAATTTTATACAGATTTGACGGACATAAAACTTAACATATCGGTATATTAGCATACCAAAAAAGGTCTCTATTATTTATTAGAGTACATCATTTTCATCCCTTAAAAAAAAGAGCAATGACATTGGCATGAGCTTCTTGGACTGGCTAAGTATATCTCATAAAATAGGAATAGGACACAAATACATTTGGTCTTAGATTTTTATCTTTTACACTTAAACCTTTTAGTTAAAGAATTATATTACTCAAAAGGATATTAATAAAGCATAAAAGGTAAAAATTTTAGAATATATAATGCATTCAAAGATAAGTTCATCAATTTTTTCTCACAAAAATCAAACCAATAGCTCAAGGGAAAATGAGAAATACCCCTCATAATAAGTTTTTGATTTTTACCCTTTACACACTATTAATACCCTTTAATAAAAAAAAACTATATTAATCAAAAGGATATTAATCAATAATAAAGGTTAAAAATCTTAGAACAAGGCTGAGTTCACCAATTTCTCCCGCACGAGAAAATTACTTAATTTACTCTTAAAATGTATGACTCTGAATTTTTATCATTTATTACAGATTAGTACCTTTTTGTTAATATAATTATTTGACTAAAAAATGTATTAACTAAGGCCCCATTCATTTTAGCGATTCGAGTTTTATTACAGTATAAACCTCTCATAAATAGTCACATCTAACTTTTTTACTACAGTAAAAAACTCTCACATAAAGTCACATTTCAACTCGAATTAAAAACTCAAATCAGCGAACTAAACGGGCCATAAGAGTAAGGGACAAAAAATCAAGACTCGTGAACCTTAAGGCCGTGTTTGGAATTGATCGTGTTTTTATTTTTCACGTTTTTTGAAAAAGAAAAAAATAAAAACGTTTTCAAAACGACATTTGACGTAATAAAGACAAAAAATGAAAATGATTTTTCAGTTTGGTGTAAAATGAGAGAAATGAAAAATGACTTTTAGTCATTTTTCATTTTTTGTTTTCGTTTTCTCCTCTCTCGAGCAGAGAGAGACATTAATGGGTTTATACTAAAAATAATATTTTGATAAAATTACTAAATGCATTTTAAAAAATAATTTCTATCTAAGATTGAAAACATTTTTATTTTTATATAAAAAATAAAATTATTTTAGAACGAGTTCCAAACGCGCTTATACTATTCGTCAATATTGTTCTTTTCTCATAGCTCAAACGGCCCAGGACAACCATGTCTTCTAAAGAAAGCCCAACGATCTATATGTCACCTCCCAGTTTACCATCAAAACGACGACGTCAGCTGCAATAAACGATATACATTCAAGCACATAATCGCCATTAGACGCTCATCTTTAATCAATAAAAGATAAAAGAATCACACTTTTTTTGAGTGTTTTCACCGAGAAGCCCAACGGCCAACGTCTCTGTCGGTTTCTTTTTTGCGGCCAAGAAGAGAAGAAATCTCCGATTCAAGTTTTTTTTTTTTAAAAGAAAAGTACCGGTACGGTATCGTTTGGCGACGATGATTTCTATCACCTCCGACGAACTCAACTACATAGTTTTCCGCTATTTACACGAATCAGGTTCGTACTCTTTTCCGTACTCCTGTTGAGTTCTGTCAGAAAAATATTAACGTATTTAGGTTTCGGAAAGCAAATGTTTTAAACCAGGGCTTCGAATTTGGAGATGAAAACAACAATAGAGTTTTTTGTTTTTATTATTATTATCTTTTTTTATTTTTTTTATTTTGGTGTTAGATAGCATTAAATATTCATCTTTGATTGTGAAAGTGAAATAGTGTGGAAATTCTTTATCTGGCAGTTTTAAATTACTTAAAAGAGAGATTTTCACATGAAATTCTTAATTCTTAAATCTTAAATGTGAATATGATCTGGTATTGAAGTGTGAAAGTTTAATTGCTATGTTGATTATGTAATTCTAATCAATTTTCGTAAATTTCTCCAGGCTTTACACATTCAGCTTTTGCTTTTGGTTATGAAGCGGGTATTAACAAAAGCACAATTAATGGTGATTTAGTCCCACCTGATGCACTTGTTACATTTGTGCAGAAAGGGCTTCAATATCTTGAGTTGGAGGCAAACTTGGGCAGCGTAAGTGTTTTTTTTTTTTTTTTTTATTACTTTTTGGTCATTGAGATATCATGGTTGGTTGATTTCTTTATCCACTCTCCAGAATGATGCTGATGTGGATGATGATTTCTCATTTCTCCAACCTTTGGATCTTATCACAAAGGATGCCTACGAACTGCAAAGAATTGTAAAAGAAAAGAAGGAAAATTTGCAAAAGGATAAGTCTGAAACAAATGGGAAATATAATGAGACCAAGCAGAAAAATGAACCAGATAATGCACGAGAAAGAGAGGAGAAGGAGAAAAAAGAAATGGAACATGAAGAAAATCATGATAAAGAGAATATATTTAACGATCATGAGGAAGACAAAGAAAAAGCAGAAGTGGATTGCCATGGCGAAGGAAACACTGAGCAACATGAAGGAAATAATGGAGATTGCGGTGGTAATCGTTCACTTCCATTCTCATTCTCTTTAAAAGTCTTTTTTGTGAACTTTTTTTTTTATTTTTTTTTATTTTTACTCACAGGAGTATTTGGTTTTTAAAAGTAGTGTTTTGTGAAATCAGGACCAGAACCAATGGAAATCTCCACAACTGCAACATCCCAACATTGTGAAATTCCTATTTCTGACGTAACAATTCTAGAAGGGCATACCTCCGAGGTTTGAACATAACCCTGTATGAGGTATTTTTGTTCTCATTTTTTGTAGTTATCATCTTACAGATCCAGTATAGTTTCTCCTTTCGTTTAGGTTTTTGCTTGTGCATGGAGTCCATCGGGTTCACTTCTTGCATCAGGGTGAGTCTTTAAGAAGGATTACAATCTTGAGAATTGTTTATCAGTATCTAACTCTTAAGATTCAAATTTCTTGGCATCTAGATCTGGAGATTCAACAGCTCGAATTTGGTCCATCGCGGATGGAGCTTCGAAATCTGCCATGCAAAACGGACCAGCAGATGCCGTAGTGCTAAGGCATTTCAAAGGTAGAACCAACGAGAAAAGCAAGGATGTGACAACACTTGATTGGAATGTGAGTCTATTCTCTTTTATGTTGACTGCTGTAACTTTGCAAGGTTACTATACTACATCTAGGTGTTTATTTTCCAATATCCTTATTTGTAATAATAGATTTTCATTTCAAGATGTCTTTCAGTTCTTAATATTAAGACTTGACATTCAATACATGTGATGTGAACTCTGGCATGGTTCTCTCCTCCAGGGTGATGGAACGTTACTTGCAACAGGTTCTTATGATGGACAGGCAAGGATATGGAGTGGAGATGGTGAGTTGATTGTGGTACCGTCTGTTTCTTGCTGCAACTAAGATCCTGTGATTGTAATGTCAAGTTATTGTAAACGTTCGGGGCAATATTATATATATATATATATATATTGCAAATTCTAGCTTGGTTGTTTGATTGAAGCAATGTTATTTTACCGTTTATGAATGGTGATGTTATTTATCTAGGGGAGTTGAGGAGTTCGTTGAACAAACATAAAGGTCCCATCTTTTCTCTAAAGTGGAACAAGAAGGGTGATTATCTTCTTAGCGGCAGTGTGGATAAAACGGCAATTGTGTGGGACGTAAAGACTGAAGAATGCAAACAACAATTTGAATTCCACTCAGGTACCAGATTGTGTGTATGAAACTTATGGCTTTTGGTGAAATGTTCTAAACTCTGTCATGTTCTTTTCAACTTTTTGGGTGTTTATCCTTTCAATTTTCAATGGTACTTGAGGCAAATTACTTTTCAGCTCCCACTCTGGATGTTGACTGGCGGAACAATCTTTCATTTGCAACATGCTCCACTGATACTAGGATACACATTTGCAAGGTTGGAGAGAAACTGCCACTCAAAACTTTCTCAGGGCATCAGGTTTGTCTTTCCGTTCAACGGATAAATGTTCCTGCGTCTACGTGTTCGATCGCAACACTTTCTGAATTAATTTCATGACTAATTACAGTCCCTATTTTCTGATTTCTGTATTTCATTGTATACCAATTAGGATGCAGGCTAAAAACAATATATAATGATTACCAATAACAGTATACCCCGCACTGCCTATGCGGTTGTTAGAGCACGATCTTTACCATCTTATTTTTATTATTACTTTTTACTGTTTTTCAGGGTGAAGTTAATGCTATTAAATGGGATCCAACTGGTACATTATTGGCTTCTTGTTCTGATGATTACACTGCAAAGGTGATTGCTTTTTTATATCGTGGCCTTGGTATTAAAATTCTTTTTCTCTTAACTTCATGATATGAAGGAAGTGTAGTGTCTTTATGAAGGCTGGTTTCTGTATTTCTTTGTTTACCAATTACTCTTTCCATCTTTTTTTAGCTCTGTTTTTAATGGGTTGAAAACTCAAATATTCTGGCACAGATATGGAGTATGAAACAGGACAAGTGCTTGCATGATTTGAGGGAACACTCTAGGGTAATTTTTTTTCTCTCTTCACATGTAAATTTGTATCTATCAAATTCCAATGTTAATTAGGTGATGGATGCACAAAACTGCAGGAGATTTATACCATCCGTTGGAGTCCTACAGGACTAGGCACAAACAATCCTAATCAACCGTTGGTTCTAGCAAGGTAAATGCGCCACTTCTCTTACTTTCATGTCTCGCAAAGGCCCAATAGGAAAAGGTAAACTTGCCCCATTTTTGAGATTATTATGTTTTTATTTGAGGCGGTATTCTTTCAAAAAAAAAAAAAAAAAAAAAAAAAAAAAAAAAAAAAAAATTTTAGCATAAAATGTAAAAGCTTCCCCGTTGTTGAATCAATTTGCGACTGGTCACTCCTTATATGTATGCACGTAATTCAACTTTCCTGTATCTTTATTTAGTTAATGTTTTGAGCAGTGCTTCCTTTGACTCAACTATAAAGCTATGGGATGTAGAACAAGGGAGACTTCTCTGCAGCTTTAATGGCCACAGGTAAACCCAGGACACTCTTCTGAGAACAGAAGGTCAAGCATAATCAATAAATGCTTCACCATTCAGAAAACAGAATGCATCCAACTGAAATATAAAAATATTAATATGAATTAACACATGAATATCAGCTGTCATAAATTTATTTGCTTGAAGATGATAATGATATCATGGCATTTTTCAAATCTCTGACCAGTATGACTCGTGGTTTTGTAATACCAAAATCCCAGGGATCCTGTATACTCTGTTGCATTCAGCCCAAATGGTGAGTATTTGGCGAGCGGATCCATGGACAAGTGCATGCACATATGGTCTGTTAAAGAAGGCAAAATCGTAAAAACGTACTCTGGAGATGGCGGGATTTTTGAAGTTTGTTGGAACAAAGAAGGCGATAAGGTTGCTGCTTGTTTTGCCAACAACATAGTCTGCGTCATGGAATTCAGAATGTAAATGCACTTTTCTACTTTTCTATTGATCTATTTATATTTATTAGTGTGCAATAACATGTGCTGATGTGCACCTTTTTTGAGAGTTATATTAACAACTTTTCTAGTTTAGCGCTCTTGGTTGACCATTAACATTTGTTAATTAATTATGTGTTGAGTTCAACATATATGGAGATAGAGCTCCAAATTATCTCTTAAAGATTATAAATTTGAATATGAAATTACTGTATGGCTGATAAGTGAAATTTGAATTGGCAAAAAGAACTAATTAGAGCGCAACGACAATTTTTCTCCCTTCAGGCTTTTTTTTTTTTTTGGTGTCCATGCATATGAAGATCATCCTTAAACCAAATTAATACAACCATAAATACCCTGTCTTATAAACTTTTGAAAAACTTCTATTTGTCCACATGGTGTTTCAAATGCAGACTAAAAATTTGTTATCTCTGAAAAAATCAATGGTTCGAGAGGTGTCAAATTAAGATGAGTATATTTTGAGTAGAAATAAGACTCCATAGCATTTTCCAAGCTTTTGTGATCTTTAATGACGAATGCTATTCATATAATTGAAAGAAAAAGAAGGATTGCATTAGAATATAATACAATCAAAATTAGAAGGATTGAGCTCATCCCTAAAGGTTCTGTCAACATGAGAAATCAACTTCCCCGTTCTAAAGAACATCTACGAATCATGGGGCAAATCTAATCACCAAGAACTATCTACGCCATCAGATTCAAAAACTGCAGAGATACTCCACGTACGACAACCATTAATGAGAGTAGAAACTCCGCAACCAAAGCTCAACATCAGGAGTTCAACTTCCAACACTTTCAACAGCTTAATCTTACTCATTCAGCAATTCCCAAGATACAAAAAATCATTACTATTGATCATTGTCTAAGATCTTCGAAGTAGTGAGCTGGTATCTCTGGAGGAGAAGCCATGTTGGCCACGCATTTGTACTGTTCGCACATAACAGGATCTGAATCAGAATCTCAGATAATGGCTTCTATAGCACAGACAGATATTATATCAGAGTATGAATGAGATGAAGATACCTTATGCTGATTATATTTTGCTCTTACAGATTGCAAAGACCCTCCTCTTCTACTTAGATACAAGTCATGTAGGATGAGAACACACTGCTTCAAATCAGACGGCGCATATCTCGAATATTTTTGCAGGGATGGTGTCTGTTAAAAGCGTATCCCAATAAATTAATGTATGATGTTATAATTGGAGTTTAATAAAGCTTTAGCATAGTAATTATGAGAATTCTTTGGTAGGATATGAAAAAACACCTTGCCCACAGTAACATTTTGAACAGTTCTATTAGTTTGTATTTTTTCTTTTGCTGCGAAGTTTTGTATACTTTAATTTTGATGTGATTTTGACCAAATTTAACGTTGAAAAACACATAATACTTATAGGTTATTTATAGTAAAAAGCTCCTAGTAATTATGTGTAGTACTCACATATCAAAGAAAATGATACAGATGAAGTTAGCAACAAGCACGTACCCAAGGATGCATCTTTGGCCGAATTGTAAATCTTGCAAGAAAAATAACAGATGCCGCCATCAATGAAGGAATGAACTTGACACAATTATAATCTAACAAACTTAGCTCCGCAAGATAGCAGCACAGAAATTCCAACTGTAGATTTGGAGTCTGTAAAGGAAACCAAATAATTGTAAGACATCAGAAAGTTCAATTTTCACAAAACGTATGTAGAGAAAAAATGGTTAAACTTACCTTGTAACTCTCTTGAGCAACGCTGGTGAATCTCCTGTGATCCAAAACCCAAAATGGGAAAAGTGACAAGATCAGTCCAACTTGTTATTGAGCAGAGATTAATATATCAAATTAAGGCCAACATGGAAACGACATAAATATCTATGCTTGCCTTAAAAATGTCTTTATCGTAGGACTACCCAATTCAAACTTCAATGACTTGAGTATGTCAGCCTCCATCTTCACCGCCTTTATAATCATCATCAAACAAATATTAAATTAGAAAACAAAAACAAAAATGGTAAAGAAACTAAAGGACCTATTTAATTCGCTGAATCGAATTTTTAATTCGAGTTGAAAGTATGACTTTATATAAGTACTTTTTACTGTAACAAAAAATTAAATATGACTGTTTTTAAAAACTTTTTTACTATAATAAAACTTAAATTCTAAACTCGAATCAGTAAAATAAACGATATTAAATATTAAAAAACAATTACCTCTTCCTTGGTGTATGTATTGTCAGTAATATAGCAAAAATCTTCAACGCGCGGAGGGGTAATCTCTTCATATTTTCTTCTTATCAGAACAAATTAAGAAAACAATTAGACAAACACATTCAATAAAAGCAACATAGATCCAACAAAAAGAAATAGTTTCTTTTAAGGCATATTAAGGGCTTACGAGGCAATAAGCATTGAAGAAACACCCAGTAATTGAAGCTTTTGCCGACTGAGAGCATTCAGAGAAAGAAATCTATCCATGTATAAAACGGTTAGATATACAGTATCAGAAAGGAGCTTGTATTCCTCTGCAACTTCCACTAACCAATCAATCAGAATCCCCCTCATACTTGGAGTAATGTCGTTCTGAACTTTTTCCATGTAATCGGGTAAAGGCCGTCTGTCTGGATCCACCTAAAGATTATAAATAAAACCCACCACAAGAATTGATTAAATTTTCCAAACACCCATTTTTTGAAGAACAATGCCCATAAAAAAAATAAAAAAATAAAAAGATGAAAATAGAAGTAGAAATACCTCAATTTGGTGAAGATATTCATAGACATCGGAAACGTACGGCACGCACATTTGGGGATCTTCCGATTTCGCTTCGGTCTCCTTCGTCTCCTGCCTCGTCGTCACCGTCTTGGTCATGGGCAGCGCCTTCTTGGCCTTGCTCTTGGTCTCGCGTTTCTTCTTTTGGGTTGCAACACCGGAACTCTCACTTTCCTCCTTAACAGCGTTAGAAATGTTGGTTAACTTGCTCTTGGTCTCCCGTTTCTTCTTTTGGGTTGCAACACCGGAACTCTCACTTTCCTCCTTAACGGCGTTAGAAATGTTGGTTAACTCTCCCAACACGACTCGTTTCTTGGTGGGGGCGGCGGGTTGGTCCTCCGCCGTTGCGGAGGCGGCGGCCCTACGCTTCGCGGCCCGCGTGAAGCGTACGCAGTTCTCTTTGTCCTCCATGGCCGTAGCTCGGAGGAGATTAAACGCTGCGTTTTGGCGTGGGAAAGGGAAAAGAAGGGCAGAGAGTAAGTGAGGGTTTGGGGGGATAATGGCGAGGGACTTTGTAAAGAGAGTAATAAGAGAGAAAGAGCGCCATTTCGGTTGTTTTTGAAAAGGGAATAATTGGCGCTTTTCTTAAATTGCTTTGAGTTTTTCCACTTTTTTTACGTTTTGATTGGTTCAGCTTTTTGAAAATTTTGGGAGTTTTGGGCCTATGTAAGATTTCCCTTTACAAAATTAGTTTGAGAAAATTTACAACGCGATCTTGTACTTAGAGGGCGGGACTTGTTTCGCTTTCACACTTCAAACCAAAATGTTTTGGAAGCCGGTCAGGACAGGATTTCGGATTCTTCTTCAATGATATTTATGTGATGTTTTTATCGAATAAGTGATTAATTATTTAGGTAATGACCAAAGCAAAAAGAGGGAAGTGTTTTACCATATTTACCTTAAAAAAAAGGAAGTGTTTTACCATACCACCTTTACCCAAATTAGTCATTTTAGCGAAGCATGCATTTAATTAATATATGTCTTTTGTAGTAGCAGATATAGGCTTAGTTAGATATAGGCTTAGTTTGGTAGTGTTATAAATTTTGAAAAAATTATTTTTAGCTGTGCTGAAGGAAAAAGCAGCTGTTACAAAAAACAGCTGAGTGTTTAGTAAACTATAATTATAGTAACTGTGCTGGTTCTAAAATCAGTGTAATAATGTTTGATAAATTATAAGATTGAATTATTGTGAATAATTAAAAATTACGACTATATTATATTATACTATAATATAATATATATATATATATAATTATAATTTAATATATATTTATTATTATATTTAATATAATACAAAAGAACTATTATTATATAATATATTATATAATTATGATATAGAATATAATAATATTATTAAAATAATAACTAAAATAATTAAAAATAACGATTATATTATATTATACTATAATATAATATATATAATTATAATATAATGTATATTTATTATTATATTTAATATAATACAATAAAATTATTATTAAATAACATATTATATAACTATGATATAGAATATAATAATATTTTTAAAATGGTTAATATAATTACAATATTATAAAACATATTATAATAATACTTAAGAAATATTAATATTTCAGTTATAATATAATTAAAAATTACAACTATATTATAATATAATATATT